TTTGTTCGGCCGATTTGAAAGAAAAACGTCTGGATGATAACCAGGTGGGGGGGAAGTGCACCGGAACGGCCGCCAGGGATAATAATTCGCGAAAGGTGAGGACCGGCCAAAATTTCGCCGCCATGTTTCCTCGCGGTGCGAGCGTCCCCACGTGGGCGTTTGAGGTTAGGTCGTGACATATTAGAACACGTGGTCTCACTCTTCACCTCTGCAATTAGATTTTCCTTTTGAATTTTTTCTTCGATGTAATGTCGATATAATCGATTGGTGGGCTTGACATTTCTATTGGCGAATCTTATTCTTAAGGTATATAAGGTATATATATATATAAAAGCAATTTACGGAATATGTTTATACTTAGAAAGAGGTATAATATAAATCTTGGAGTAGATGCACAAAAAAAGACACTTTCCTAGGCCGGAAATAGTTAACCGTAAATCAGGCTCTAAATATCTGGAAGAAATGTTTTTCTTTCGTTTTCCCGAAAGGTACTCGAGTTCGTACAAGAAACTTGAGGCTGTTTATCCAGTATCCGATTTAAAGACGAACCCTGTAAATGTCCCGTTATAACTCGTTTTCTTTTCCGTCTGAACTTCCGAAAATATTCCACAATTGGAGCCGACTATTTTGATTGTCATTACGAAACGCTGCATCATTTTTCTTTAATTAAAAGATCGAATTGACCTGCACTCGCTTAAGGTTTGGGGAAGTTGCAATTTTGGCACGTGCTTAGCAGTACCGAGCAGAGTTTAAATAGAGCCGCTCGTAATTGTCTCGGTGTTATGAACTTCGGCGGTAAACACTTTAACTGCATCCCAGTGGACTGCATGTTGTGAACTTTGGCGGTGAATACTTGAAATGCATGCCAGACTGCAAAGCGTCTAATAATTAATGCTAATTAGCGATGGAGGGCGAACGGTTTCCGAGAGAGTCGAGGAGTCTGGCACGAACTAGGAAATGTACTTTCCTTAGCTAAAAAGTTAATTGGAAATTTTCCTAAGCTAAAAAGTTAATCGGACATTTTTTTTAGTTAAAAAGTTAATCGGAAATTTTTTTTGCTAAAACGTTAATCGACAGTTTTTTTAACTAAAAAGTTAATCGACAGTTTTTTTTAAATAAAATGTTAATCGACAGTTTTTTTAGCTAAAAAGTTAATCGACAGTTGTTTTTAGCTAAAAAGTTAATCGACAGTTTTTTTATATACTGTATTATATTGTTTACATCTTTCAAGTTTATCAACGTTGATTTGTAGTCATCGTTTCTTTGTTGGGTCGTGTATATCAATTTTTTTCAAGTATACATTGTTCATAAAAAAAAATCGACACACCTAGAAATAAAAATCGTGTAAATCATGGACTAATACATATATGTATTAGTCAATATATGTACATTGCTTATAACAGCATGAAGATGCTATGATTCAATTGTGGTTGAAAAATACTTGAAATCGTGGAGATATAGATATAGTCTTCTTTCATTATGTTAAATAATATATGTGGTATTAGACATGCACGAATATAATTTGTGGTGCAGTTATTTTTGCGAACAGAGTAGATAGCATATAGTCATTTAGAGCTGAATACAATATATTTTATCCATATACAATATTTCAGTCTTCGTGTGCATATCGTTTGAAATTCAGGGACTTATTCTACGAAACTTACTAATAATTTCCCTGTAAAAAGTAATGTCTATAAATAAAGAAACGAGGCCCACGTGGACTGCACTTTGAGTTTGTATTTTTAACGGTGTTCCCACAAGAGAGATATTTCAAGTCCGAAAGCTTAATAAAAGGAATTTACGACCGGCGGAGTTTTGTTTTTTATTCTCGCTTGTTGCGGGTCTTGCTATTGTCTCGTATATTGTTCTTTATTGCGCTTCTTGCAAGGAGGTTTGACAGTTTCCTCCGTCGTTTTGCGGGTATATCGATTTGGCTTACACGTGGGCGTTGTGCAATTCGATACGCAATGTACGTTATACGAGCGTTGCAGAAATGGCAGGAACGATTGCGTCGCGAAACGCAGCACACCTATTCGCGCCGATGGAAATCAGTAATTTCTCCATTAAGCTATGGGTTTAAGCGGCGCTCACAATGCGCAAGGATAGTTGGAACGAGTCAGGAAATTAAACAATTTACGGACACACTTTGCCCGGCGTTAAGCAGAGAGCATTAAGGCGTCTAATGGAGGACGTGAAAATTTTATCTTGGGGCGACTAATGTCGGAACTTCAGTGAAATTAACACGTAGGACGTTCAATGCCCTCTGAAGACTCATTTTTTGAAACTGCATTTAAATTTAGGACGATTAACGACGACCTCGAGTGAAATTAACGCGTGGGACGTTCAGTGCCCTTTAGACTTATTTTTCGAAAGTGCATTTAATTAAGGACGATTAATGAGAATCTTGAGTGAAATTAACGCGTAGGACGTTCAATGCCCTTTGAAGACTCATTTTTTAAAAATACGTTTAAATTTAGGACGATTAATAACGATCATGAATGAAATTAACGCGTAGGACGTTCGATGCTCTTTAGATTCATTTTGTGAAAATGCATTTAAATTTAGGGCGATTAATAACGATCTTGAGTGAAATTACGCGTAGGACGCTCTTTTCAAGACTTATTTTTAAAAAATGCATTTCATATTAACGCTTTGAATACGGAGCCATTTTGACATATGGGCTAAATTCGTTTGACCGTGCAAGCAATATTGGACTAAACGTCGGACGCCTTTAGGCGCTCTTAGTAGCCAAAGGGTTAAGGTGACTGATAACGATCCTGAGAATAACTAACGCGTAGTGCCCTAGAATGGCATCATTTTTTTGCTAAATGTAATTCTTCCTAATTTTTCTTAATTTATTGTCGGGTTTATTGCCTATGTAACTATCTAACTGGCGTACTTTGGACAATATTAAGCCTTACCTTACTTGCTTTCTGCTTTTTATTTTTGGTATGAGATCACTGGTAACGTAAATTTGTATACATTATCTTTCGTGTGGCATAGGAGTCACTTCGTATTTCTGAAAAATGCTATTTCTCTTAACTTTGGGGATATTTATTGGGTGGTGGGGTGCCAACGCACGTGTCTCTTGAAAGAACAATAAGGCTTGCATAATTTCTAGAACATATATTTTATTGAGCCACTATTCTGGTAACAATTTGCAAAACGCTATAAAATATTCAAAGATATATCCATAGTTACTGATATATATTTTTTATTGATTATTTGAATCTTTGTACAATGCAGCAGTTATTTTCATAGACATTATGTGACATTGGGAAAAATAATAATCGGAGAAAAATTCAAGTGATCGATTTGTATTAACGATATTTAATCAGATGATCGTTAGACCGTTACATCGTCTAGTGGAGGGCATAAAAATTGTAACGTTCGTTAAATAATGCCTGCTCTTCGGTGGAATCGAAATCAATGTACAAGACGTTCTCGATACTCCAGGGAGATGAGGATAAACCTTATACTTCCAGATAATGTCATTTTTCTCAATTTTCGGGACATTTACTGGGTGGTGGATTGCCTCTGCACGTGGCCGACCACGTGTCCCATGCAACAATGATAAGCCTTACAAACTCCCCTTCTATTTTCGATATTGGTACTTATGTACATGACACATCACACATTAATCACAGAATTTAGGAAATCACAAAAACGCCATCATTTATAAAAAGTAATGGAGGAAATGTTTTCCTAGCGAACAGTAATTGTAAAATAAAATATGACTGCATTGACACTAAAAAATCGTGTTCTCATTTTTGAAATATAGTTTTTCCCTTCGTTCGTTGTTTCAATATTTCTCGGATTTATGTGTGATAAATTCCTTTTTTACGGTAGTAGGGGGTCGCATGTAGTCTCAAGTATTCATAGCATTGGGAAAAACGTGATGATATTAAAAAACAACGGGATAAATATTTTCCAGCCGAAGAATTAGCGATTGAACCGTTTAAATATACATCTGCGACTAATCTAATTTTTATATTACATTTTTCATCACTCGTGTGATATTTCAAGTTTACCGAGATTTGTATTAGGTTGATGCATAAGTAGTGGCGTTTTTTTTTTTACACGTTACGTTACGCGTTAAAAACGCCATTACTTATGTATCAGTCTAGTGGATAAACTCTTAGTATGCGTGACGAATTCATAATGTATGAGAAAATGTGATCAGAGGAAGTAAGTAGTTAATGTACAGGAAACACGGACCAATCGGTTCGCGAGGTCGGGTCGATGACGCGGAAATGCTTTTTCAGTGCAAATTCACGGTGCGAAATTTCCGGATGAATCATTTCCTTTCGAAACCCGAAGTGGAAAGTGTCGAAAGGACGGGGCACGCATTTCGCTCGCTGACAGAGAACGTGCGATTTTATTTTTATTTCTTTTCTTTTTTCTCTCCCTCTCTTCGCTCGAGGATCTCGCTCTCGTGCACGCTCGTTGCACTTTTGCTGCATTAATGCACCTGTAACAAGCATGCCGTACGCGTTTCCCACAATTCGCGAACCCGCGCACGCTCGACCGGTTTTCAGAATCTGACATTAAGAGTGCATAAAGATCGCGGCGGAATGTGCTGGAAATCATTTTCCTATCTATCCTTTCCTTTTGTCCGTTCCTTTCATCCGTGAAAATTTATCGCCGGGGTTAAAGGGCAGATTTTCAAAGGATAGATGAATTTTTGAATAATACGTTTTCTTGTTTCAATAACAAGCTCGACATGACGATAGAATTTCCTACAATATATTTGACACTACATTTTTTACATGGTCAAAATGTTTTGTTTCATTATGTATATTTTATATTTATTATTCGTTTTATGTTTATCGCTAGGGTGAATCCGAAATCGAAAACATTTGTTAGACGCACGCGAGGCATATTATGTTTATAGTGGAGAGATAATTTTGTTATTAATCGGAATTACTTTTTAACGTACTATAATATAGGGCCGGTTTTCAGAATCTGACATTAAGAGTGCATAAAGATCGCGGCGGAATGTGCTGGAAATCATTTTCCCATCTATCCTTTCCTGTTGTCCGTTCCTTTCATCCGTGAAAATTTATCGCCGGGGTTAAAGGGCAGATTTTCAAAGGATAGATGAATTTTTGAATAATACGTTTTCTTGTTTCAATAACAAGCTGGATATGACGATAGAATTTCCTACAATATATTTGACACTACATTTCTTACATGGTTAAAATGTTTTATTTCATTATGTATATTTTATATTTATTATTCGTTTTATTAAAAAATTTATTTTTATCGCTAGGGTGAATCCGAAACCGAAAACATTTGATAGACGCACGCGAAGTATATTATGTTTATAGTGGAGAGATCATTTTGTTATTAATCGGAATTCCTTTTTAACGTACGTGGCTCATAGATATAACAGTATAAGAAGAAAATCGTTAGGAATCAATAATCGATTTCTGAAAGGAGAGATTTGTCAAGTTTTCGATAACTAGCCATCAATACTTACATTTGAATAGGACAATTATATCCTTGCGTTAAAGTATTAAAGTATTTAGAGTAAGTAAGAGTAAAGAGTAAGTAAAGAATAAATAAGAGTGAAACCCGTTCACGAGCTCAGATTCTTTTTTTTTTCTTAACGCTTCGCTTTAATTCAATTACTCACGCATTACATTCTGCACTAATGAAAATTTCCATGCAAATTCTCGCGATGACTTGAGAAAAGATTAACTCTGTCATGCTTAGTGATAACGTCATACATGTTGGTCCATTATTCCATTTTAGCATTATAACTACCATTCACGAGTGGAAATTTAACCTTCCTTTTTTGTTCATTTAAATGCCAATAAGTTGCACTCGACAAAGTTCGATGCAATAAGTGACGGAAAAAAAAAAAAATTATCGGAACGTCCATAATAATTATTAAGAATTATTTGCGTGCGACAGTCGGCGAGTAGTGACACAACGCGCGATGGCACGCACGCTCTTTAGAAACGGCACGCTCTCGTTGCAGTTGCGCTAGTTACCTAAGACACTTGCAGCTGACTTTTGCACAACGTCCACTGCATGCACTCCGCGCCCTGCAGTTGCATCCCACCTTTGCGAATTCGTAGAGCTTAAAAGTACTTCTGCGCCACGTGAGTCTGCCGACACTTTGCAATTTCTTCGCAACTTTTTTTGATTAATTAACGCTGGAATGTAAATTATCATATAAATGTGTCCTACACTGAGAAGACAGTTTATTTAACCTGTTAGGGTGATATGAAAGTGTGATACATACGTACCAAAAAAGCAAAATGTTTATAAAACTTTTCTCCAAACTGGGTGCGCAGAATTATCTGAAATTTTAACACGTGATTATGGAGGCTTTAAGGAAGAACGCACTGGCTGTAAAATTTCATTTTTCGAGAAAGAAATATCTTTTCTTGGTTTTTGTCCGAGATAAGTACATCGCTTTCGAAAAAAGAAATTTCATGAGCTGCGCGTTATTCCTTCAAAGATCATCTATCAATGTTCATCACGTCATTTTCATGAACAAAAATTATGTCATTCGTATCGAACAAATGATTATCAAAGATCTTGTGGACTTTTTTAAAGGGATTGATTTGAAATTTCATTTAGGAGCGTTATCAGGTGATGCCGGAAGTGGGCAGCAAGGAGAGCGAATAATTGGTGGGAGAGAGAGAGGAAGCAAGGGTAAGGGAAGAAAGGCGAACAGGATGCCGGACGTTCGGCGCGCGCAGCCGAGAACCACGGCCTACGAGGGTGAAGTTGCACCCTCGGAAGTGGAGGGCCAGTGCGTGCCAAGAAGCCGCCCTGTCAGTTTCTACGACAACTTTAAGGTAATCAGGTCGGCCGGCGTCAAGGCACGTGCTCGAGCACGTGTGCCGCCCGAAAATAATCCCCAATTTTCTATTTTTACTTAATTCTTTGTCGCCCCGTGTTACTAAAAATTCTTCCCCCCAGTGAAAAAAATGCTGCCGTCCCACATTTATCGCGGATTCGATTTCCGCGAATGAAAATCGCGCAAATAACGTCTGTCAATACTAAAGAAAAGAAATATTGGATATGAAAGCTAGTACATAGAAATTTAGAAACACGTATATATTTCAAATAACTTGACAAAACAATATAATGACGTTTCAGGATCATGTAAATTGTGTTATGATTTGCCGCGGAAAAAAAAAACATACTCCCATAAAAAAATTGCCGCGGAAATTGAGGGAGAGGTGTGCATAGATTTCTTTTTTTTTTTCTTTTTTGTTTTTAAGAATTTTGTCGCTTCGGGTTTATTCGTTTCTTTAAGGTGTCGTTTTAAAGTGTTTTGAGTTTGCCATTTGTCACGGTAATTTAGAAATCTGGCGAAATTATTGAATTATTATTCCGTCTCGATGATTTTATCACGCAATGTGTTCATTATTTCGTATTGTAAAATCATGATTTTGTATAATTTTTTTACTATCTGTCGTAAGAATTAAAAGATGCGGTGAAATATCTGGATGGGTAAACTTTATTTCCAATGATGTTGCTGACGCGTTCATTGTTTCGTTTCGTTGTCACGTATGATTATTTCGTGCGGGCCATTTATCGAATCATTTTTAAATACTTAGCGCGTGTCGTTTGTCGCAAAAATGTGTAATTATAGCTATGGAATATTTCTTAAGAACTTCTCCATGAAGTATCGTATCGTAAATTGGACGCGATGAGTATATGGAAAGATTTCTTCTTTAAAGGAAAGTGCTGGGTGAAGTGCGTGTCAAACGTAATCAAGAAGTTAATAAACGCACTTATTTAGTATTTTTTTTTGTTGCATCAAAGGAACTACATTGCGATGAAATGAAAAAGTATTTCCTAATGCGAGTGTGGAACAATGAAACGTCGACATTCATGTCGCGTTTCTGTTTTGACTTCGCATCTTTTGCGACAGAGAGACGTGTAATTGCAAGAACTAGATAGATCTTGACGGAATAATTACATGGAGGAATTCTTTTCCACAATGAATAAACAGATCGTGACGCGAATGTTAGACGTGCGCACGAAATACGAATGAAACGATGACTCGACTGAGAAACGTCATTCAATTTCCATGAACTTCACTTTCGGTGAAAATTTTCAACCTTATGGTAAAACGAAAATATCTGACACATGAAAAAATATAAACAGACATTATTAGTTGATTACGAGTGTATAACAATAGCAGTCGATTTTTAATCTTTACCGTTAAAACGCAGTGAAATAAATTCTTGAATTTTCATTCTTCATTTTTTATTCCTGCTACTTTTCCGTGAGTTCCGGGTTCAATACCACTATAATTGCAAAAAGATTTTTTCCGGCGTTTAAGGTAGAGCTGTCTTTAAAATCGTCCTCGGACGTGCCCGGAAGATATGTCAAATTTCTTTGTTCGGAGAAAAAACGTTTAATATCAAGTACCGATCGACACANGGATACAGAGGTTGAGGGTGGAATTTGTGGAATTTTTACGTGACCTCCGCAATGCTGCCTTGTGTGGCCTCGGCCACGAGCGTGGGGAACCTGAGTCAGATTATAAAATGTTATAAAATTATAATATCTTTTTTAACAATGTAGCGATGCAGTCTAGGGAGTTTCGGATACAGAGGTTGAGGGTGAAATTTGTGGAATTTTCAGGTGACCTCCGCAATGCCGCCCTGTGTGGCCTCGGCCATGAGCGTGGGGAACCTGAGTCAGGTGCGCGACAGTGTGGCCACTCCAACAATACCACAGAACAACAACAGAGTCAGCAGTGCAGTCAGTGCGGGAAACGTTGCGAAGATACACAGTCCCAAAATGACGGGTAAGTCGACTTGAAAGTAGCCAGCAATATTTTTCAATTTTCAAGTCAATCCTCTTAACACATATTTGATGTGTCATTTAACCCTTTGCCGTCGATGCCGTCACAAAAGGTTAATAAACCAGTACAACACCAACATTTGTATCAAAATACGATAATAGGATCCCCGTCGATCAGAATTCATTATAGTTGGAAGGTAATCAATTCGTCGGCGGCGTCGTGGTTTTTCAGAATTTTTAAAAATCGTCGCAAACAATTGTCAAAAAAATCTAACCCCTGCATTTCTCCGGAAGAGTGATTACTTTCCAAGTGAAACGATTACTACTTATTTCATAAAAGGGTAGGGTAAAGAATTTTAATACATGTTACGTGACAAGTGGGCAGGGGAGAAGTGAATTTCGAAACATCTCGTATTAATCGATGTATTGAGCACGAGTGTTTGAATGCAGCAAGTATGACTTATACGAGTGAAATTTGCAACAAATTGTTTTTTTTTCTTTTTTTTTTCTTCGAGACGAGACTTCTTTGCGGTGAGTTTAACTGATGTTTTATGACGTTTGTTAATAGTTTATTGGATTCTGTCCTTTTTGCGCGTTATTTTCAAAAGTGGGGAGCAATTGCGATGTCTGCAAATGTTAAGGCGTCGCCTTCGAGGCCCTTCGAGGAAAGGGAAACGATTGAGCACACCTGTCGGGCGAGTTCGGTGCGAGGTTAGGTGCGCGTCCACCTGCCTCACCTGGGCTTTTTGCGGGTCGTTTTTCGGAAAACTATCCAACGAATCGTTACGCCGATTAGTGGAATGTTGAGATCTGTCTTGAACTATGTCGGTAAATCAATCCCGATGAGGAAAAGAAAGTCCGGTGAACTCCTGGAACGCCGTTAACTGCCGATGGAAAGTCTAACGATGCGGATCCTCGATTTCCACCGTGATTCACTCCACGCCTTATTTCTCGACGATCCCGTTATTCCTTTTACAGTCATTATTGCCATTAGGAGCTTTAATTAGAGCCGTTTCTACTGTACCCGCGGGTATACATATAGACACAGGGCGGTCTCTATTATCCGAGATAATAGAGATACATAAATGTCCCCTGAGATTAATGACGTCAATTGTCGACAAAACGATCACACTTCATTTCAATCAGTCACTTCACTTTTTATAACAACGAGATTACTGAACTATCTTTTAGATGATTGATGTTTGAAATTTCGTACAAAAAACGATAGGTGGAGCATGTCATTTAATACAATACCCGGTATAATTCGACACAGCTGTAAATATAAAAACGAACGTCGGCAACGTAGGTATTTAGGAAAATCTTTTTTACCTACCTTGATCAAGTTCCTCGACGTGTTTCACTTCAGCTTAAACGAGGATGATCTTTTGTTTCCACAGGAGCTGTCTCGACCGGAAATATCGGTAAAACCTTCAGGCTTGAGAAGGAAAAAGAACGAGAACTGGGCAGAGCTCCCTCCATGGCAAACTGTCTGTCAACTACGGTCCCGGTCAATTTGGCAGCTTCGCAAATCGCCGGGAGACACACCCCGACGAGAAATTCCCTCAGGCACAGCAGAATGATCGTCATGCACAGAACTGGTAATCGTGAGTAAATCTTACCTAGAAATATGAAAATCAATAACCTCGTAGCCTAGCCTCTCGCCCTGTGCGAGGAATGTCGAGCTTTCAAACCTATCCTTGAGGGAAAAATGATATCAATCATTTTTCCGTTCCAATGTCCTGGAACATTCTGAAGCTTGTACGCAACAGGTTATTGCATTTTCGAAAATGTGTAATAATTGATAAACGACTCGTGAAATCATTGCCAAGTTTACGTGTTGTTGTGCACTCTTATGAGCAACCGTAACTTGACATTTAATTTCCCGGCTTAGTGTTTTATTATCAATTACTTCATCATTTGCCTTTATTTTTTTCGTTTATTTTGCATATAATCTAGGTTAATGCGGTAATGCAATGTTTGCAATGTTTGCAATGTTTGCAATGTTTGCAATGTTTGCAATGTTTGCAATGTTTGCAATGTTTGCAATGTTTGCAATGTTTGCAAGCAATGTTTGCAATGTTTGCAATGTTTGCAATGTTTGCAATGTTTGCAATGTTTGCAATGTTTGCAATGTTTGCAATGTTTGCAATGTTTGCAATATTTGCAATATTTGCAATGGTTGCAATGTTTCCAGTGTTTCCAATGTTTCCAATGTTTCCCTGTACAGTGCCACCAGAACCTGTCCTTTACCTCGAAGGGCCGAAAATGAATTTCAGGTTGCTCGTTCAAAGGCAATAAACCCTCGAAACGACTAAAGCTTTTCTTTCAAAGACGTTTTCCCGAAATTTTCCCAATAGTCCACACGAAGGTGCAGTCCCTTTCCAGGTTCTTTCCAGGAACGAGGGAGTCCCTCGGGTCGCGCTTTGTCCTCGACAATTTCTCGATCCTGAGTATGTTTCATGTTTATTTATCGTGGCCAATTTGAATATCGTGGAAATTGAGTCGTCCCCGCGGTCTGAATGAAGTCGAAAAGAAAAAAAAAACGCTAAATGACACTGCAGGTGGTTGGTCTTAAAGGAATATTTCTTATAATAAAATGGCGGAGATATGAATTAGGTGTAATCAAAATGTAAAGGTTACTCTGAATATGAAATCCAATAATTATTGTTCTTTGCTCAACCGTGTACATCTCCATGATAAATTTTTCAAGTGTCCCTTAAGTATCTCCGAAGTAATTACATAAATAAATAAAAGTCACTTAATTTTTGAAATGGTAAATTAATGTTGTACCATCCTGTACGAGGCTTCGCTGCAAGCTATGTTAATAAAATACAATTTTGCAGTATATTTTTCTTCTTTAAACGTACAACTGTTATTAGATTAATCTCGACTGTTTAAACGGAAAATTGCCATTAAATGTTAAGTTAATTGTTTTCTCTTCCGGTAATTTCAAAATATTTACGGTATCCTTGATGATTAGTTAATCAGTACTTTCCGCAGTACGGATGACGCGGTGAAAAATGTTTAAAAAGTCATCTTAATGGTTAAAGTCGAGAAACGTGATAGCATCGATTACCGGAACGGCTCGGTGAATAATCGATTCTGCGTGCCCCGGTATTTCCCCCGTGTAAACAGAACTCCGGGCTCGACAGGTGCAAGTGCAAGTGCAGGTGCAGGTGCAAGTGCACACTGATGCAAGTAATTGCGCCGAGAGGAATGCGGCTCCCTGATTGGCGGAGATCGGGCTCTTTCAGATCGAAATTTCGACTGAAGGACGTACTTCGGAATACCGGTAAACTCAACAAGAATGTTTTTGTTTTTTTATTATCATTGCGAAGAATTGTGAAAAGCATGTATTCTTAACCGAGTTTCACGAGATCCGGAGTGAAGGCGAAAAATTCAGCATTCGGCAGTAATTGGAGGAATTTTGGTAAAAATTCGGGTTTAAAAATAATATGCAGGTTATATAAATATTTTCTCGCAAGAGCATATTTCATCATTATTTATGTTTTTAAAAGTGAATATGAAGAAGATATTTTACCTTACGTAGAAGTTAATTTCATAATTGATTTTATTTAAAACTTGACCATTGTCTCTCACTCTCAAAATGTTATTATTGTAGAAAAAGCTGTTAATATCGACTGTCAGGATTCTGCAAATATTGCAAGAATATCATAGAAACTAGGATAGGAATTTTAATAGAGCGATGAGATATTGCTTTCGAGATTTTGCAGAGATTTACTGAAAATTAAAAATCCATTAAGGCAATCTCACATTTACCATTATTATTCATGAGTTCTCTGCTAATGTTGACTAGTCCAAAAATCTATATTATCTATAATTACTATTTATTTCTCACTCTTGCTCTGAATACGAATAAATAAATGCCTCTAATTAATTCTTAACTTTAAACTTCCGGCTTCTAATTCAAATAGACCTCCCCATGTATACAATACGAGAGAGATCTAAGTCATTATTTTTAATATGAAAAGAAAAATTGTTCGGAAGATCTGGAGAATATGAGAAAATTTTTTGTTTGCTTTCGAGGGGCATATTATGAAAGCGGTAAACACGTATAAATAGACTCTCTCCTCCGTCGTAGTTGTCGTGCGAATTTATTTCTGGATGGTTTCGCCGACGTTGCAATGTCTCCTCGTCGACTATCGAAAATGGCGGAACCAGTGTGCTATAACTCGAGATATTTTTGGCGACTGTTCTGCATTACCAACACTTTCTAAATATTTCGGGCACTCATCGGAATGTAGGTCTTCCCGAGAGGTCTAATTCCTTACGAATTACAGTCCTGTCAATGAGAATCCAAAGATAAAAACAGAAAAAAGGTTACGCTACTTTTCCGCAACTGTTAAAAAAAAAATTAAACTAATTCATTCATGAATCTGTAATCTGAATCGTCATTCATATACGGTATACTATACGTATAATAAGTTTGATACAGTATATTATACATTATTTAATATACATGTAAAATTAGGAGCTAGTTTAACAAGATTCCGATAAAATGCCATGAAATTGGCCAATTGTTCTTACATTTCGAAAACGTTGCATACTAATTTAGATAATCATCGTGGCAAACTTGTAATTTTAATAAAACCTTCTGTGTTGAAATTGTTAAACGTATACAAACAGTTTTAACGAGGCTCTAGACAACTTGATTTGTTTAATGTTTAACCTATTTTCCAAGCGAAAAACGGATTAAAATACATAAAATACCCGAGGATACGAGATTTGCTTAATGGCGCGTTATATTTTAATTTGCTTTTGTTTAAGTTAATTGATTTTGCGAAAAGAGGTACGGTGAAATAAACGCAGGAGAAGAATTCAAGATGGCGGCGCATAAAGGTCTCTAAAGACCGGAAGCGGTCGAAACCGGAAACGAATCGTGCCGGTTGCGCGATCTTTTCATGACTCGCCCAGCTATGAAATTCCATCCTTAACCTCGACCCTGGTTCTTCTGTTCTCGTGACATTATTTTTTTCTTTTTGTACCGAGAAACAATCTATTCACTTAGTCTTTTTTATTTTTTTTCTCCAATTTACCATTACAAGGTGGCTCTGCAATTTTAAAGGCGATCACGGACCGTGAGCAATTTCGTTTCGGACAATGGTCAAAGCTCTTTAGAATCGCGGCGACCCTTTGAACTTGCAGATGGTCGAACCTAAGGGTGGTCCAGAACCAGGAAGGGTTGAATCGATTACTCATTCTTCCCAGATTTGTCCAAACTCGAGATTTACGGAATACCTTGATCATTCAAAGTCTTTTTCCAATTTATTTCCATTTTTTTTTCGACACCTTGCCATTTTTCTCGAATCCTTTCTGCATTTTTTTTCGCATTTCCTTGCAAATTCAACAGTTCGCGACATTCGTGCTAAGTTTATATAAGTGTCTTTTACAACTTGCGAGAATTTTTTTTATTACCATTTAGCTTGAAATATATTTTTCTAATTTGCGACATTCATGTTAAGGTGATGTGAAAGTGACTATGCAGAGGTCTCGTTCATGAAACATTTCTCTGAACTGGGTGTATCGAATCGTTTTAAAGTTTTCAACGTGAATATGGAAGCTATAAGGAAGGTCCTGAGACCTATAAAAATTGAATTGTTTAAAAATTTGTTTATAGGCATTTTAAGCATTTCTTATGGTATTTAAAAGTGAAATTTCAGGAATGTCAGGACCTTCCTTATAGCCTCCACATTGACGTTTTGAAGTTTGAAACGATTTGGCACACCAAGTTTGAAAAATATTTTAATTAAGAGAAAGATAGATTCATTTAATTAAGAGAAAAGTTTCATGAACGATCGACCCCACTTTCACATCCCCTTAAAAAAGAAATAGAATAAGAAAAGCTTCGAATAAATCGCTGCCCGAATCAGGCTGAAAACCTGTCTAAGTCGAAAGAGGAACTGCTTGCGGCCGGTTTACAATGCAATTACTCAATTACTTGCGAGGAGGTCGTTGGTTAAGTTGCGCAAGCTAGTTGCGCGGCATTACGCATGCATCGGGGCCATTGTGATCGAGAAATGCATTTCCATGAGCGTGGGCTGCTGGCGGTTTTGTCCAGGAACGACATTATCTAGGGTCAGTGGGCTCGGGCGAGAAGTTGCACTCATGGTCGTTGCACTCGGAACACCTCAGAAATGCACTCGAAAGGAAAAAAGCGAGAGAAGGGAAAGAAGGGAAGGAAGAAAAAAAGGGATCTTAAAGTGCAGACAGAGCTCCCGCGCTTGGAGAAGTTGAACTTTTTCCGCCCTTGCATCCGGTGTACCTCGACTTCGCTTACTGCATTTTTCTCTTCCCTCTGATACCGTCGTGCATAAATGTATTAAATTATTATTTATTTATTTCTACCCTGCTCGTGAAAAACATTCCGAAACGTGAAAATCAAAAATGTGCATTTCTGATAATCGCATGCATCGTTTAGTACAATGAAACGAGACTCTGCCCTAGTAGCACATAATGATTTCTAAATATTTCTTTTTTATAATCATTGCTAAAATATCTCAAGCGACAGATTTTTCAAGATGTCTTGGAGATTTCATTTCAAGATATCTAAGATATTTGTTGAAAATCTCAATGGCATACTTAGTTTTAATAATTTATAAACATATATCAAGATTATATTTTTTCATTTATAAACATATAATGAAAATACATTTTTTACTTGACACACCTCATTTGGTATGAAAAAACGCGACAAATTTTTGCAACATTTTCGTTCATGGGTATCGTAGATTGGTTTTTCTGGGATTAACGCGTTTAGAACTCTAGTCGTACTGATCAGCTGTTTTTCATGAGAGAGGGAGGGCTCGGTTGTCTTCCTTTTCTCAATTTGGCCACCTTCACGCTTAGATCAGTGTGCCAAGTCGATGTATTCCTAAGTCCATCTGGGTAACGCATCGACACGCACTTACGTACATGGGGTTACCACGTTTAGAACTTTAGTCGTACTCATCAGCTGTTTTTCATGAAATCAGAGAGAGGGAGGACCCGTTTTCGTCCCTCTCTCAATTTGGCCACCTTCATGGTTAGATCGGTGTGCCGAGTGGACGTATTCCTAAGTCCATCTAGGTAACGCATCGGCACGTACTTACGTACATGGGTATCGTAGATTGGTTTTCCTGGGATTATTGCGTTTAGAACTCTAGTCGTACTGATCAGCTGTTTTTCATGAAATCAGAGAGAGGGAGGGCTCGGTTGTCTTCCTTTTCTCAATTTGGCCACCTTCACGCTTAGATCAGTGTGCCAAGTCGATGTATTCCTAAGTCCATCTAGGTAACGCATCGGCACGCACTTACGTACATGGGTATCGTAGATTGGTACCTGGGGTTACCACGTTTAGAACTCTAGTCGTGCTGATCAGCTGTTTTAAATGAAATCAGAGAGAGGGAGGGCTCGGTTGTCCTCCCTCTCTCAATTTGGCCACCTTCACGGTTAGATCGGTGTGCCGAGTCGACGTATTCCTAAGTCTATGCAGGTAACGCATCGGTACGCACATACGTACATACGTGGGTATCGTAGATTGCGTACATCTTGCGTAGCACCGGTCGCCGACCCGGCACGGTTTCGCGATGCCAGCCCCGTAACTCCTCGAGCCCTGGGTGCAGCCTAGAGCCCGATGGCTTTTCTTTCGAGCCTTTTACGAGGCCCCCGAGGAGGGAGAAAAAGAAAAAGCCCGCCGAGGGAAATATCTCGTGGAGGGATTACGCTTCCCGGTTCCGCGACACCCTCTCGCAACATCCCGATGGATGCTGGGAAGATGGACCGGGGATTTGCGAGCCTCCTTCTCTCCGGCCCGTCGATTTAAATGGACGCTTCGAAGAGATCGCCCCGGCCCTGCCACTGGGATCTCACAATGGGGATTATTATTTATTCCACTTTTATTGGATACTCCCTTTCTCTCTCTTTGCCACTCTTTGCCTCTCTCTCTTTCTTTCTCGTCTGGGTTTGGCTCGAGCACCGGGATTTCAGACTGCTGAGTGGACCGGGTCGCTGACTCCCAGGAATCTGGACTAATTTACATATTTCTTGTCACTGCCTCGGATTTTCTTGTTTTCCTTCCGAGTAGACGAGGAAAGAAAGAGAAGCGAGGGAAAATCTACGATTACTTCAGCACTTTTTTTTCGGGATTCTATGGGATGCGAAAGTGCCTCCGAAGGGTTCTCGTTTATGAAACTTTTCTCCAAACTGAGTGTATCGAATCTGTTCAAATTTTACAATATAAATACGGAGGGTATAAGGAAGGTCCTGAAACCCATGAAATTTCATTTCTTTTATAATTTGTTCATAGATATTTTTTTAATTTGTTACAAAACATGAAATTTCATGAGTGTTAGGATTTTCTTTATAGACTCCATATTCATGTTGCAAAATTTGAAACGATTCGTTGCCCCCATTTCAGTGAAAAGTTTCATGAACGATCGACCCCTCAGACGAGCGAAAGATTTTTAGAAACGATGAACTAAATGGCTTTCGTTTTTATTTAAATGAGCTGAAGTTTCTTCTAATAAAATTGATTTTAGCTCGTTTAAATATCCAGAGTTTACGAAGAAGTGTATTGGCCAAATCGAGATAACTTATTGCTGTTCGAGTTAATCCGGAAAATCGTTTCATATACGTCGGATTAAATAAGGAAACGCTATTTGAAGTGATATCTATCGTCGCTTGTATCAATTTATTTCAATGACATTTAAATCGACTCATTTCTCACATCAGATTTTATCGGCGAAGCCATTAAGTGCGATTTGATCGCACGTGAAAACTGTTCGTTACGTTTAATTCAGCCGAGCCAAGTTTGCTCGGATCAAGTGAAATGCACTTGAATTTAAATGAAATTTGCTCAACTGCGATATGTTTCGCCGATTTAGCAGAATTCATTGAGCGGACCTAACGAGTGGAAATCTCTGCCCTCTCCGATCCTGCGATTTTCCCTCTCGGACTGTCTGCTTAAGCAGAAAGGAGGGAAGGCACAATAGGAATGATTTTTTATTCCACTTTGGCCCGAAACCCAGATTCCTTTCAGCGGATCGAGGCTCCGCCTGGCGTCCCGGAAAACTTGCTGAAAAGTCCCTTTATAGATATTCTCATCCGTTTTTCCATTGATCCCCTTTTCGTGCCGCGAATTAAGGATGCCCCCGAGAGATGCCCAGATTCGTTGCCAGCGATTCTTACAATTTCAATCCCCAAACATCCTCAATTAGGATAATCGTCGTCATTAGCATTTTTCTATATTCTTTTTCTTATTTCTATTTCAATTCCTTTCACCTATATTTAACGCAAAGGATCTGCTAGATCTCTCTGGAAAATTCATTCATACGAATTCTCTTTCACTTTTCCACACATTGATTTACTTTTCATTTTCTTCTGAGAATTCTCAGAATCGTTGCCAGCCATTCTTACAATTTTAATCACCAAACATCCTCAATTATAATAACTGCCGTCGTTAGCTTTTTATTTTATCCTTTTTGTTATTTCCATTTCAATTCCTTTTATTTTTGTTTAGCACGAAGCTAGGTCCCCCTGGAAAATTCTTTCACGCGAATTCTCTTTCAGTTTTCCACACATGGATCTCCATTTCATTTTACGAATTAAAGATGCTTCCGAGAGATGGCCAAAATCATTCCCAGCTTAGGACTTTAATCTCTGAATATTCTCCAATTATAATTACTGTCATTATTTTCTTCCTTTACTTTTTAATTGTCATCATTCCTTCAATTTCTTTCCTCCATTGTGTGAATTACCTAGGTCTCTTCAATCAAATCAGCACAAGTCGTTCAAAAACGACTTAATCAAAAGAAGTGGAGAGAGCACAATATCAAATATGCGTGAAACGTTTCAGTAAAATGCAATAATATGAAAAATGTCAGGCCCAGCCCCGTTCTTCCTTATTCTCTTTCATTTTTCCATGGAGCTCCTTTTCATTCTACAAACTAATAACGCCTTCGAGAGGCGTACAGAATTATCCGTACTTCTCAGAACTTTTATCACTGGATATTCCTCAATTATAATTCATTGGCTTTTTTTCTCACAATTTTTCTTCCTTTTAATTATTTCCGTTACTCCAGTTCCTTTCCTGTATTATGCGCTAGGGAATTACTAGGTCTCTCGGAAGGTCCGCACATTTTTTTTTTTTTCCCCTATTAAGGCAAGGTCGATCGACTGGATCGGTTGGTTTGGATTCCTTGTACGGAGGGATAGCGAGGCCGATCCGATAGTTTCCCAGCGGAAACATTTTCGGCTTTATTTCTCTACTCTCTTAACTCTCGGAGGCGCGTCGCGATATTAGAAATTCGCTCTTGAAACGCCTTTATTAACTCGAGAAACGAGAATCCAGTCTCGCGGCCAATAGCCCCTCTTTAAGATGATATGAAAGCCGCTGTGAAATTTAATCAAGGTCGATATATTAAAATTCATCTATACCCTTTTAGGTGATAACGCCATTTTGAATACCAACGTGGTAACATAAGCTGGCGCATCTCGTTAACGACATTTATATTTATGTTGAAGTCTTTTACAGTCTACGTTGAGAATTATACGAACTGAAGCGTTCCATGTGTCATTTCGGTAAAGTAATGATGAAGAGATCGATGTTAATCTGTCGAAATCCCGTGAATTCATTATTCCAACGACTGTTTAGGACCAACGACGCCATCTCTGACGCAGCTAAACAGCTGCAACTAAATTTTTGTAATATGACTCTGTAATATCCCATCAGACCTGGAAAAATGAAATCGTACATCATTAGGAGTGATCGGTAGTCCTGGCTGATAAGAGTTTTAATATCTATTAATGTATTAATATTAATTTTAATATTTTTCTTACGCTTTCAGTTCCACGGAAGTCGCAGCCACCTTTGCTCCGACATCGACGATTAGCCAGATCTTTGGCAGCTTTGCAGACAATCCTCGGAGTGGCCATTACTTCATTATCATTGTGGTTACTTCTGTGGGCACCGAATTTACCCGTGACCGATAACCCCTACTGGAGTGGAATGCCGGTGAGTGATAATACAATGAAAGATTTTAAACAATTCGCAGTCTCATGTTAAGTACTGTACACTTTCAAAATCCTTTCGTGTACCTACTCAATTTACGCGGATTCGTTTTACGCTAACGAAAATCACATAAATGAAGTCTGTCAGCTCAACAAAAAATATTGGAAATAGATGCTAGTACATATAAGTGTTAGAAATACATATTTATTTCAAATAGGTTAACTAAAGAAAGATAATGACATTTTAAAAAGTGTGCGCGTAAATTGAGGAAGGGGTGTAGTAACTTGGATATCTTTATCAGCTCCCATTTCATGTAGTATTAATAATGCAAGGAATTTGAAAGTTAATCATAAAGAGCAAGATGTATACATTAAATGAATTAGATATAACACGATTGATATTTTTTTTCAGCTCCTTCTATCTGGTAGTTTCGGAATCTGTCTATTGTGCTGTTTCAAGAAGGAGTACCCAGGGATGAGCCCAGGCTTCTGTTTGACGACGACCAAGGTACTCCACCCTCTGCGACGTGAAACCATCACGTCGTTCACTCCAAGACAAGATTGTTTCCAGATCGATGATCTAGATGCCCGATAATATCAGGTGATTAATTTCCAGGTAATCAGCGTGTTCCTGGCGAGCCTCGCGAGTATAGCCTGCTTCGTCGCTTGCATCGCGTCCGCTCTGCACCTCGCAAGATTAACAGGCTTGGAGTGCATCCCAGCTCGAGTTTTGAATGCAACTTGCGCCTGCAGGGTGAAAAACGAAACGATGGATTCCACCAGCGAACCCGTTCTCCGATACGTCGATCTCAATTGTCCAGAAGTCGAGAGCATCTTGACTATTCTATTGATATTCTCGGCCTCGTCGAATGGTCTTGGAGCTATCGTCGCTGGATGGTATTGTTATCTTCATTGGAGTACCAGGAACAAGAGGCCAAAGTACGTCCAAGTCAGGACCAATCCTTCCTCCACCAACAATTTCGTCAATAGGCCCATTTACAACCCCAATTTAAATGGCCGATGACAGGAAAATGGTACCCCTTGGGCCGACCGTCTTGAGTAGGGGATGCAATTCCAGCTTGGAGGCTTAATGCGGTTCGTTGATGCAGTTTTAAAAATGAAGGGACTGGTTCGCAGCGGACATTTTTGAAGGCATCGACTTTATGAAACTATTCCGAAGTTGGGAGCAGATTGACTTTCCAGAGGTTCCTGGCACCGTTCAATGGTGTTGGAGCTATCGTCGCTGGATGGTATTATCTTCCATTGGAGTACCAGGAACAAGAGGCCAAAGTACGTCCAAGTCAGGACCAATCCTTCCTCCACCAACAATTTCGTCAATAGGCCCATTTACAACCCCAATTTAAATGGCCGATGACAGGAAAGTGGTACCCCTTGGGCCGACCGTCTTGAGTAGGGGATGCAATTCCAGCTTGGAGGCTTAATGCGGTTTGTTGATGCAGTTTTAAAAATGAAGGGACTGGTTCGCAGCGGACATTCTTGAAGGCATCGACTTTATGAAACTATTCCGAAGTTGGGAGCAGATTGACTTTCCTGAGGTTCCTGGCATCGTTCAATGGTGTTGGAGCTATCGTCGCTGGATGCTATAGCTATCGTCGCTGGATGGTATTATCTTCCATTGGAGTACCAGGAACAAGAGGCCAAAGTACGTCCAAGTCAGGACCAATCCTTCCTCCACCAACAATTTTGTCAATAGGCCCATTTACAATCCCAATTTAAATGGCCGATGACAGGAAAATGGTACCCCTTGGGCCAATCCTCTTGAGTATTTACAACCTTAACCTAGCAACTTGCTAATATAATTAATATTTATTGAAGGAATAAATGGGAAATATGATGGGCGCTGCCAGTTGCTAATTATCAGGGATGATTTTTCCATAATAATAAGACGAATATTTATTACGTATTTGTCATCTGCGAAAAAGAAGAAAACAAACTACGTCGATTGCCACGAATTAAGTTTCGCTCTGCTTACTTCTCTTGATTTTTGGGGAATGAGACATTTCTATTGCTGCAATTGTAAAATCATATCAGACTTCGATTATCGAAGCCAATTAGAGATTAGAGGAAAATAGAGATCGAATTACAGTATTTTCCATAGATGTAACGTTTTGCACGTACGTATTAAATTGTATTAAATCGTAATATGAGTTAGGAGATATTTGATGAATGATTTTAATAATTTTAAATTATTCCGAGAGCTGCAGGTTCATGCGTAGGAATTAAGGATACCTCCTTACCCGTAATTAATTATTAATTAATTTTACGGATGGTACAGGGCGAAGAGTACGTCTTAAATCCTTTCCGGAAGTACTCGTCGATTTTCAGGTGTATTATTTTAACAAGTGGACCAAAACTTAATTAAGGATATTTAAGGTAAAATAGTTAATTGATATCGAACATATTGATGCGGGTTCCGTGATGATTATTATTCACGGTAATAATTATTATACATAACTATAATATTGGTTTTTCTATACGAGGAACCACTTTTCCTTAATGTATAGTTCATCGTTTAACTACAGAATTGTCACGACATAAACTAACAAACTCCTTGTACATTCATTATGTGACAATTTTGGGGTCATAAGTTCATCCTAAAATCGATCAAAAGGGCGATCTGATTTCTCCTTAAATAATGTTTAAAGGGGAAAATGCTCATTAATATTTAAGGGTTTCAACGACTTACATACTTTAAGGAGTGGAATTTTTTAGTTACTGCGTTTTCACTTTTTTTTTCTAGCTTCCTGACACTCCTCCATATCTTGTAAATATCTTTAAATATATCGAGAATCAAGTACATCTCTATCTAGTGATAATAATTTATTATACTTACTGATATTAAAAGCGGCTGCTAATGGGATTCTTCCTTATTTGTAAGTTTGGAATAATAGAAGCGTAGTTTCTATCATCGTTCAGCGTAATAACGCATAATTGCATCGTTTTGCAACTACCAAAGTAACCCTGGAATACCAGATCTGAGGAACAATAAAATGCAATATTAATGTTTGCGAAGCGACATTTATTCCGCCGCAATGGCAGGTCGCGATGCCGAGTATAAGAACATATTCAACTTTTCCGATAATTTACAAATATATAAAATAACATGTTGCACTCTCCGCAATCTAATTCTACGTATATATATAAAACCTACGTATCCTTTGTGCATTTTGGAAATTGAAAATCCATGTATCCGTAATACTTTTCTGATTTCCGTCCGCTCGATTCATCCTCCATCGATGTCCTAAGATTTCAATATATTTTCAAAACACTATTCGCATCTTTAATAAATAATCACAATTGACGATGAATCTAAATAGTGCTTGATAACAAAATTTCGCCAAAACGTGGATTTAATAGTATCGAAGCAAATTTGATTCGAGAAAAATCGTGCGTTTCGGGAAATGATACAATGATTTCTTATTAATTTCTGCTCTTCTCCTTCTAGTTCCATAATACTTTTTTATTGTATATATTCTTTCGGACGAGTTGTGTTATAAGAAGGCCACATTTTGTCCACGAGGCAAGTCAAGGCGTTCCAAGACGGAGACAACAATCACTCCTTTGGAATTACACTATTTTTTCTATTAAAAAATGTGTTTCTGGGTTTTGTTTTAAACGAATATTAGGGATCCATGAGATTCACGGCTGAAGGTCGAAGGTTCAGTTGGTATTCCCCGAAAAGCATTGCAGCCAACCACCTGTATTGCTCGTTCTTGGATGCACCTGCTAAGGTGTATCCGAAGAAGGGCGAGTCCTTGCACCTGTAAATAATTTTCAATCATTAAATCTCCGTCCTTATTTTTAAGCATTGCAAATTAGAAGAGAGCATTGAAAGTAATCGTTCGAATCTATAACGTATAGATTAAAAAACATTAAGTAGACTAAAAAGTCTTGAATTACTAACAACACAATATTGAAAATACGTTCATTTACTGAATTACAACTTCAATCGATGCCAATATATCGGGGTGATTCTCAAAGCGTCTCTGCAAGTGTTGTAAAATATTGCAAATGAAAGCAAATCGCCGGAAGATTTTTAAGCCCGCCCAAGAATTCAACTTTAATTAACAATCAGCTGTGAAGCCTCACCTGGTCGGTTTTTTATTCTTAACCATGAAAGTAATCGACCACCTGAAATTGACAGAAAATAAATCATTAACAGATTTGACAAATAATATATTGTAAGTATCAAGGTGATATGAAAGTGGCGTCTCGTCTCGTTTATGAAACTTTTCTCCGAACCGGGTGTACCGAATACTTTTTCTATCATGAACATTTGTCTCAACCTAAATGAAAATTCATGGATATCGGGACCTTTTTTAGGGGCTTCATATTCATGTGGTGAAACACTGAACAATTCGGTACACTCAGTTGGGTGAAAAATTTCATTAACGATTGACCCCGCGGACGCCACTTTCATATCACCTTAAGGAAGGTACTGAGAAGTAGTTTAACATTTTTTTTTATATATATAGAATGTCATTTCAAGCAACATTACCCCATCTGAGGATTGCGTTTAGGCTCATGTCCTAGGAACCAAACGATGTCCTCGATTCTCCATTCGTGCAGCTTCGTCGAGCAGGCTTTGTCCTTGTAGCAGCACAATTTCGCTTGACTGAACTCGAAGAGGTAGCTCTTGAAGTTCTTCGTCTTCGTGTCCGCAAATTTCAGCTCACCCGATATAGTCATCGGCGGTTTTACCTGGAAACATGAGTGGATCGCGTTGCTTTTCCTATTCCGACATATCGAATATCTACTTTATGCCTTAAGGTGAAGTGAAACCCCCTTCAAATCAGTCGACTCGAATAAGACATTTTTTTTTTAAGGGTACTGGATCAAACTGTCTGAAACTTTGACACATGACTCGTGAGCACCTTCACCTACGATTGCAAGAAAATTGGGTAACGCATGTTTATAGATTAAAAAATTAGTTGCAGCTAAACGTCACAGATGGCGCCGTTGGTCCTAAACAGTCGTTAGAATAATGAATTCACGAGATTTCGACAGTTTTGAATCGATTTCTTCATCATTACTCTACCGAAATGATATATGGAACGTTTCAATTCGTATAATTATCAACGTAGAGTATAAGAGACATCAGCATAAATATTAATATCGATAACATGACGCGCCAGCTGATGTTACCACTTGAGTATTCAAAATGGCGTTACCGCGAAGAAGGGTATAGATGAATTTTATTTCTACGTCGATTGAGTTTCTCAGCGCCTTTCATATTACCATAATAAACGGTGCCAGACGGATTCGGATCTGTTTCTAATGAACAGAGGAGAATCTGCCGAGGGCTCGGTTACATGAAACCTGATCGCCGATGCATAAAGATGCGTTTACAGTTACGACAAGTCACTTCTGGGAGCTTGCAGGCCTGCAGAACGGGGGATATCATTTTTCGCAGTGATAAACACGGTCACGCCGTGGCATATAAATAACGATAACACTCACAGTGCACCGCATACGGTCAAGTACAATTAGTCTACATCCTGTTTTCAGCGTTCAAAAGCGCTCCTTTCTGACTCATGCTCTAAACCAGCCCCATAAAGTGTGTCACTCTACCTACATATACCAAACAACGGGGCATCCTGATATCCGACTGTGGGACGAAACTGTGGGACATCCGGATATCCGACTGAGGGTATTCACTTCATCTTTAACGTAGAACTAAATTTATGTACATATGACACTTTCATATCACCTTAACACATTCGCGACCAGCAAATTTGTTCCGTTTCAAATACTGAGTACCGGGGAAAATAATGAAATTCTTAAACTGGTTGCCGCAAACTTGTATCGTGTATCGTTATGGACGTGATTCACGTCAGCGGCAATCAGGAATAGAAGTTGAAAAAACGTGAATTCACGTCAGCGGTCGCGAACGTGTTATCTACATTTATTTGCTGATGCTTTCGCAAGCATTGAAATTACTCGAGATCGGAGCGTGAAATGGGTTGCTCATGGCGCCAAAATGAATTTTTGATTATGCGTCACAGTGGTGACTCCCATGGCAGTGAAAGTGTTAATTACTATTTAAGTAAAGCATTTTTCAATCAACCTCCACTTCGTATAATTAATTATTCGGGTCCTACCAGAGGTACGATGTCGTTGTACAGCCTGTTCTTCGTAAGGACCAGGATGTTATCCTTGCGATCCTCCAGGTCGAAATATCCCCACCTTGCGACCACTTCCAGAACGCGTTCCCCATGATGAAGAGGTCTCTGAAGAGCACTGCTTAGGACGAACTCTTCAAGGCAGAGCTCATGGGGTGGAAATTTTGCCTTCTCTCCGAGTTCTCGACACACGTCGTAGGCCGTTTTTTGGGGACCGATCTGAAGAACGAAAGACGTATAAAGTGTCGTAACCGTATTTTTTTCATCTTTAATCTTAGTTTTTCTATTCTAATACCCGGTTTCATCAACCTTGGTTAAATCATTGATTACTTAACCGTGGGCTAAATATGCAAAATTAATGAAAAATATTGCCCTTCGCGAATTTTTGTTTTTGTAGCCGCGGTTCTTCATTTTTACGGAAATGAAAAATGTAGGCAAATCTTTGTTTAGGTCAATATTATGTAATTGTTTACCGTGACGTTGACGCACTCGCCATCCTTGCTGGTAATGTAAATCCAAATTTTCAGGTCCCCGGAAGGAGCTCCTCTCAAGCCATTGTTTGATACGTGGTGTCTCTCCAAGACTTCGAGAATTTTCGCCTCCTTGGCCAAATCTGCTGCCGATAACTGATAAAGCTTCGGATATAGATGGATGAGATCTCCGACGACTTTCGTCTCGGAACGGTTCCATTCCTCGGCACTATTTTCTCCGGCATGCATTAAGGTCGGACCCCAAACTGCAGAAAGGTTCTCCACTGTCATTAGATTTCTCGGACATTGTTGGCTTAGACAATGAAGATGTGCCAGGATCCTCCTCAGGGTCGCCGAGGATACAGGATCGAGAATCCTCAGAAGTTTTCTGTAGGTTGTAACTCGATCGTCCTCGTTCGCAAGCTCTGGAAAGATAAATAAAATGAATACGGAGTATTAAATCATTCATCAGAAGTGAAATCAATTACAACGGAAGTTCAGTGAAATTTAATTAAACTCTCACTTTAGCGTTTGGAAACGTCTGAACATAAATAATGTTATAATACACCCTCGCAATTTTAATTGGCGATACATTTTACAAATCACCTCTTCCAAGGTAGCATTTATTTTTAGCAAGACTAATAGCACTTGGTTACATTTTGCAATTATTTTAGTACGACTCATTTAACGGCATTACAGATCAAAAAAAGCGTCAACGTCAAGCTTGAAACAGCGTCAGGCTTTTCCATTGCATTGAGTAATTCTTCCGACCCTGGGAATCAAGGATCACTGCTGAATTCAGAATGGGTGATTTTCGCGTACCTATGCCGCGGGATTTCGAACCTTACGACTCAGTGTAAACAAGCAAGGCGCAATTCGACTTAGCCCGTTTGAACCGCGGTTCATCGTCGAGTTCAATGTGCTCTCGTTAAGTTATTAAACCCATTAGTCTCCCAGGAAGGGAGAGAAGTCGAGCCGATATAATTCAGGCTTCTTAATTTCACCCTGGCTCTTTTAAATGCTCCTTTAAGTGCTCTTTTAAATGTCCCTTACGGACGCGTTAATATGCTCGCACGATCCATCGAGAAACCGAGCGCTAAACTTAGATCATCTCGTCCACGTGTCTTGAATGTCGATTCGAGAATATAGTAGCCTCTTTTCGTCGAGGAAGCGCATTTTTTCACGATTTGAATATCCATTGTCCATGGAGACGAGAAACGGATAAGAATCAAATTTCGCTGGACTTGCAAAGAGGAAGGAAGACGGCCAGAAATGTTCTCAAATTTCTATAAAAAGTCTTAGGAATTTATTCCAAGTATCCATAGAGATGGATTTAAAGAAAACTATACAGGAAGTGTCATTTAAGAATGGCTCGTAATGCATTAGAAATTACTCGTTTTTTTAATTATGCATATTTGTATTTTCTTCAGAAAAGAAATGGTTTAAAACAATGCCTTTTTAAATGTTCGCAAAATGTATAGAAGTACAGAGTAAATTTTTACTGTAAAATCTCTTAAATATTCCTAGTGACGAAATGTAATTTATTAATATCTAAGTGATACGTGAAATGTGAAAATAATATTACTAACACCCGAAGTATATAAATATTAAATTAATAATTATATGCCTTGATATTTTCGAAGGATAAGATGTTCGGATTTAAATTTCGCGAAGTTTCAGATATAGAACGTGCAGCAAAAATAATTGAATGGAATTCAAATTCGGTGAATTTGTGGTAAATAAGTGTGCGGCAAAAATTGTTTAACAGAATTGAGTTTCGCTGAAATTTTGGAGGAAAGGTGTGCAACAGAAATGATTTAACGATACCTGGAAAAGTAACACCTGACTGATAGGAAAGAAAATCGACGTCATAAAGAATAATTACAGAGGAATAGAGATAATAAATAGTTTAAAAATAATTATACGAGTGCATAAACGTCGCTATTCTTAACATAGGAGACCTTGGCATGAATTCCAGGCCGTGAAAACTCTGCAAGGACAACTACGAGATGCAATCTTATTGTCAAGACAGCTTATCATCACTTTTGATATTATCAGTGCTCTTAAATTAAATTGCCTCTTAAATTGTCTCCCGAGACAAGGGCGAGACAATAACGTGCTAACAGGGACTCGTAGAGATTTTTTAATGCACTTAAATATGCAAATGCAGCTGTTACCTACAACTTTCTCCTCGCACAACTCAAATTTGATAATCGGCCTGTTATCTTTCATAATTTCCTCGCGGAATTGTGACTTCTTTACCGAAACAATCACGACTTGAATTTGATAAATAATCTGCTATTTCCATCCCTCTTCTTTATCTTATGAAATTAATTGACCTGCTCGTGGAAGCTATTTTTGTTTTAAGTTTCTTCTTGGAGATTCACTCTTTTTTTGCAGCTACATATTAGATAAATTTCTGAGAATCGATACGTATCGATTTGCACTAAGAGCATTAGAGAGCGCAAAACAACTAAAGGAGGAAACGACTTTATCGATACGCAGAATCAATTCTTATCAATTCTACAATGATAGGCCGTCTTGATAGGAGCAATATGCTGTTCCGTAAATAAATAAGATCGTGAATAAAAGGGAATGTGCATATCAATGCTGAGGCTATTTTATAATTATGAATGGAAAAGTTTTATAAATATTTTGACTTTTATATATGACTTAATGACACCTTAAGTTATCTAAATATATTTTCTGATGCTTTCGCAAGCATTGAAATTTCTAGAGATCGGAGCGTGAAATTTACGATGGAATGGGAAAACTTTCGAGAGCTTTTTGCCTCTTACCGATAATTCGACACAGCGAATCGTGAATGTTTGCAGGAAACAGAGGATCTGGAAGATCTCTGAGGAACCTCCTGAGAGCAGTGGCGACATCATGTTCGCTGTACGAATTTCTGGTGATTTGGGTGGCCCAGGCATCTCTTCTAAAGGCTTCCAACAATCTGGCAATGGCACTGCTGGATCCACTTCGACGATAAATGCCTTCCGACATGATCCCTGGAACACAAGACATCGAGTCTCCGTAAATTGCAGGGAAAACGGACACTTTATACAAGTAACTAATTAAATTAAGATGGTATGAAAGTGTAATATAAACGTACCAAAAGGTCCAAATACTTATAAAACTTTTTGCCAAACTGGGTGCACAAAGATAAAAATAATGCACAAATCAACCAGTACCAAACACAGAAGGGCAAGAATAATAAAGAGTAATTAATACAATCTCTCCGTACTCTTTGTGAATTTTATTTGTTATCACAATGCTTAACCTTCCTTAAGAGGTTTTACTAAGGTTCATGTCAGCTATTGTTTGCACATTGTAGCAAAAAAATTGAGGTGGTCCCTTATGAGTTTAGTACCTGTTCACTATGTTGATACCATCATAGCGTGTCCGTTGGCAACAGTTAACAATTGATAACCGATTAATAATTATTAATAGTAGTGGTTTTACATTTTCCAGATTACAAGAAATCGACAGAACTTTTGGGAGGACCTAATAAGTTTATCTGATTTTCCTTTGGTTTTAACAAAAAATAATTATCAATTACTAAGGCGCCTCACCGTGGGCGTATATGAAGTTTATGCACTTATCGAGGATCACGGGGACATTGTCCTGCGTAAGCTGTTGTTGATTCAAGGCTGGTCCGCAATTGGTTGCAGCTTGGTGCAATGCATGAGTCCATGCATGGCATTCTCGCGATCCTGGAGCTGCTATATGAAGAGCACCTTTCCCACCTGCATCCACCACCACCACAGGAACGTTTCCGCAGGTCCCATTTGGACCCTCCTGTTCCCTGAGGACTGAAAATTCAAAACAATCCAACTTTTGCAAACAATCCACGAGTAATGCATTTTTACATTAAGGGTAATTATTAACACATTCTCTATCAGACCGAATGTCGAGGATTTTATCATAGGAACATTTCCGCAGGTCCCGTTTGGCCCCTCCTGTTCCCTGAGGACTGAAAATTCAAAACAATCCAACTTTTGCAAACAATCCACGAGCAATGCATTTTTACATTCAGAGTGATTATTAACACATTCTCTGTCACACCGAATTTCCTTTTTTTTTAATAATGTTTATTTACACACCTTTGGTAAATACAAAGACATGCCGTCGTTTGGAACATGATTAAGAAAATTGATACCACAAACTATATCTGGCTCTTGATACTCTAACTATTGAACTTCTTGATTAATAAATGATAATCGTCATAATTTTCCTCTTTTAATAATAGCATTGAACTGATGCTTTATGGCTGTTGTGAGAGAAGCAACGAGCTGTTGAAAAATGTTACGGATGTCGATTGTATTATCACTCGTTAGTTATGTCGATGCAAGATGACTCACAAAGACGCGAGTCGATATTTGCGTAAACTTCGATATGTAACTCACTGTTAAAGACTAAACTGTCCGTGGTCGGTATCAATCGACATTGACATAATGGGATGGGAATATCTCGAGGCGGCACTTATGAACTCGTTTTACATAATTAAAGATGTCCATAAGTCCATAAATTTCATGCGTTTTTTCCGAAGAAAAACTAACACCACATTACAACATTCGATATGACGATTTAAACTCGTACGTAATGTTTTTGAACAAATTTGGAATTTTATGACATTTTATTAGACATCTTGTAAACCAGCTTGTAAAATTACGTATTATAAATTAGTATGAATAAAATAATTTCAACTAATTTATATAATTACAAGGGAACAGTTGAAACTGAATAGAAAACTAAATTCGACATTTCCGTTTTCGTTTCGAACTTTTATCACCTCGAAGTAGCATGCAAATTAGCAAGACTTTAACGATAATGCTTTCTAATGGATGTGTTTCAACAGAAACACATTTACAACACCTTAGAAACGTTTCTCATTATAGTTCGCAAAATTCAAATTAGTTTTTCATCGAAAGTGAAGTTCCCAGACATTTGCAATGATTCAGTGGGAGCTTTTATTGACGGCCCCGCAAAGGGTGTAGCCGCTTAAAATTTATTCCTAACAGTCCTAATCTGTTTATAGTCTCGAAATTGCAGCTCGGACAGAGTTGCGATGTTTAACGACCCATTGGCGGCAAAATTGCCGTCATTGGCAGACATCGCTGACGGATACCATTGACAGGAACTTCCCGGACAAGGGCGATGGAATTAAGGGGCTCACTTCAAAAGCCTTCACGGATCTTCATCCCACGCTTATCAATTATCGTGAAGTAATAAAAACATAAATCATATACATTATGTATAGTAGAAATTTTTTTGTAGTTATCATTGCAACGAGATTAATCATTTTCAGTCTCTGCATCTCTCTTTTAACCAAACCACCACCTGAATAAAAACAGCTACCGGTTCGAGTAGCTTTCCACTTTTCTCTCTCTCTCCTAAACTCGACCACGACAGAAAGTCGCGAAGTGTTAATGTTATATCGAAGAAAGTTTAAGGTGATATGAAAGTGCGATATATACACACATAACAAAAAGTCAAAATATTTATAAAACTTTTCTCCAAACAGGGTGCACCGAATCATTTGAAATTTCAGCACGTGGTTATGAAGGCCTGAAGAGCGTAGTGCTTATGAAATTTCTTATAAAAAATTTTTTATTTAACTCAGACTAGAACCAAGAATACATTTTTCTTTTGATGAAATTTCATGACCACCACGTTCTTCCTTGGATCTCCATAATCACGTGTTGAAGTTTCAGATGATTCGGTGCACCCAGTTTGGAGAAAAGTTTCGTAAATATTTTCACGTTTTATGTATACAAAACGATCCTTTCATATCACCTTCATTTTAAGAAAATGTGAAAAATCTGAATTTTGTTTACCTATACAACGGGCTTTTCGTAGATCCACGTGCTCAAATGATATCGGCTGTTCCAGAGATCGAGTATAGACTAGAATTCGTTGCTGAAGAAGTACCCAAGCTGGAGACCAAGCACCGGTTACACCTTCCTGAGAAAAAAAGAAATTTTAACATTTTTTTTCCCACGTAAGTTACAGTTACATAACACTGGAATAACATGGAATATAACGAATGCTATTCAAAAGATACATTAATATCATATAACATCGAATTATTACCGTTTATAACATTGCCACAACATTGCAGTTATATAATTCGTTTTACAACAGTGTTATATAGCTGCGGAAGGAATAGTAATACTTCTTTTTTATTTTATTTCACAATAAATGTCAATAATTAATTGAGTTAATACCACATTAACAGTAATGTAAATGTTTACGCGAGTTGTCTAATTACTAACCCGCAAAGGTGAATATAAATAGTAATTAACTGTATAAAAAATAAACTATATAAGCGTTTGATTTTTCGTTACGTTTCCATTTCTTAATTCTTTGGGTACTAAGAGCGCCTAAAGGCGCCCGACGTTTGGTTCAATATTGCCTGCACGATCAGACGAATTTCGCCCATATGTTGAAGTGGCTCCGTGTACAAAGGATTAAGAACGTAAGAAGTTTCACTTCGATATTTATTGACGCGGATTGTTATGTTATTGAGTGTTAAATGTTATCATGTATTACCTTAATATAGGCCCACCCAGCTTTGGTCAACTCAGCTGTATACTTTACAGGAAATACGGAGGTAAGTGCTTCCAAAATTCTCTGCGCCCAAATTCGCCTTTCGGTAATTCCTTTTGCGTAGAAAACGTGAATACCGGGTCTTCCTTCCCCACTTACAGCAATACAATGGACGGTCTCACCATCTATAACCCTTTAAATTTATTTTTCAATTAATAAAACAATTTAAAACGCTTCGAAATTATAGATATCTACCTTGCGATATAGCCCTAGTAGAACATAATAATTTCCAAATATCTTTTTCTAATCGTTGCTAAATATCTCAAGCGACAGATTTTTTAAAATGTATAGATTTCAATTGAAGATATGTAATGATAAATATTTGTTGAAAATCTCAATGACATATTCAGTTTTAAGAATTTATAAACATATAAAAATTATATTTTTTAATTCATAGACATGTAACGAAAATACATTTTTTACTTTGCCATTATTATCCGACACTTCGTTTGGTGTCAAAAAATATGACAAATTTTTGCAGTATTTTCCTTCCGCTATTTCATTATAGTAGCAAAACGTGGAACTTTTGATTTTAAAAATTTTCAAAACGTTTATAATGTATTCGGTAGATAACATTTAAAAAATACTTATATTAAAGTGATACGAAATATTTCAAATATCTGTTAAATATTTACAAAATGTACGATATTCGTTAAATATATATAGAAAATGTACGATAAATATTTTGTGCTACTAGGGACAATTCTTTATAATGTATGTTTCAATCGTTTCATTAAAATGATTACATTTTAGACCGCACTTAAGTCAATTCTACATCACTCTCAATCTACATGAAATGTAAACATTACTTCTTATTATAGGATTTATAAGCAAGTTTTTGTGATAGTTAAATGCGATTTTGATCGATCGAACCTGCACGTCCAGTCGAGCGTGTAGGGACGTTTTTTAAGTATCAAATCGATAAACTGTGAAATTGACAAATTGACAATCGGTTTGCAAAGTGTGATCGATCTACCCTGATATCGGCTTTATATTTCTCCAGTACGTCAAACGTACCTAATTTATATTTCTTAGACGTTAAGCTACCATTTTTCGAAATTGCGAGTAAATCACGAGGAAATTAATTAAACATTTAGTGTTTCACGTATAATTTTACGGAAATTCTCATAATTTTGTTTCTCATGTTATAGAGATAAGACACTTTCTCTTATCACATGCGCTCTATTCTATAATATATTATGATGATAAGATCTATATTTAAGGAGTATCGTACATTTTGTAAATACTTAGCAGACATTTCAAATATTTGCAAAACGTTATCTTTAGAATATTATCATTACAATATTTGTATAATATTAGCTACCGAATACATTATAAACGTTTTAATAATATTTCTAAATCACCCGGTTTGCTACCATAATGAAATAACGGAACGAAAATATTACAAAAATGTATCGTCTTTTTTTATACGAAATGAAGTGTCCGATAATAATCGTGAAGTAAAAAATGTATTATTATTATATGTTCATAAAATAAAAAATATAATTTCAATATGTATGTTTATAAATTCTTGTACCTAAATATGTCATTGAAATTTTCAACAAATATTTCAGATATCTTCGAATGAAATCTACAGGACATCTTAAAAAATCTGTTGCTTGAGATATTCAGCAAAGATTACAAAGAAATATTTAGAAACTATTCTATGCTACTAGGGATGTTGTATCAGAAAGGTGGATGTAATATTTACAGGGCCATAAAATAATATATCAGCTCAACATTGGTTGGTAATTGATAATATTGTGCCAATAGATAATATCGGACAGATTTATGACCAATATTTTTTGCTACAGGGGTACTTACTTAACATCCTGGAGAAGATGCACGCTGTGCACGAGGTCTAGCTGCACAACTTCCTTCAGGGTCGCCATGCTCTTATCGGTATAAAACGAGAGTTTGTTATCGCTCAAAACGGCAGCCCTGGTCACCAGATCCTTAGCCCTTTCAATACCAGCCCCATTCTTGTAAACGATCCCCCTATGCGTGGTAGAACAATGCCCAACAACCCCAGGCCTCTCCAACTTAATGTTCCCTTTAGACCCAGTTTCAACATTCTGCGGCTCCCTGTTCCTGGACAAAAGTTTGCTGTTCCTAACAAAGCTCATGACATTCGGCTTCACGTGGACCCCGGACTCCTGCTTGAGCTTCTTCAGCTTCTGCATCATGGAGGTCCTCTTCTCTTCAACTTTCGGAGCCTGAGCCGGTGAGTTCTCCTTCGCAGGTGCGGAAGTTGCCGATGCTTCTTGAGTCCTGATTCCAGGAACATCGGGAACCTCGTTCCCAGGACCATCTCCCTTGCCCTTGTTCCCATGAACGTCTTGCGCTTTGACGGAGTGCTTCTTCGGCGGCACTGCGGGTTGCTTCCTCTTGGCTAGGTGTGCCAACTTGGGCAGCAACGCGGGGTTCTTCCCAGCAACGCTTTTTTCAGGGGTCTCCACCAGCTCCACCTCGTCATATTCGTTCTTGGGCAAGGAGTCGTACCTCCTGGGAGGCTCCGGAGGCTTAATCTGGACACCCTGGCTGAGCTGTTCCGCTTCCTCCTCGAGGATGACCTCTTCCTCCTCTTCCCTCAAGTCCGCCATGCTTCCTCCACTGCTGGGGGACTCGCTGGTCGCCAGAAGAGTCTCCAGCAGCATCATGTCGTTGCTCTCGTAGTTGCCGTAGACCGCTTCGTCCGTCCTGGCCAGAGGATCAAACTCCACCAGCACCGACCTGCTGGACAGTTTCCTGCTAGCCAGTTCCTTGTTCTCCAATCCCTTTTTAGGTTCCACCTGCTTCGGTATCGTTTCTTGGTGATCCTCTTTGGACTCCTCCAGGGGGATCTTCCTGGGGGTCCAGTTTTCGTAGAGGGAGTTCTGGATAGAAACGTGGCTGATGCAGGACACTCCAGAGATTCTCTCTTCAATGGGTGCCTCCAATTCCTCCTCCAGCGAAGGCTCCCTCTCTTGATCAACCGTGCTCAGCTCCTCCATCCTTCTTTCCGCTTTTGGAGTGGCGTCGTAGAAGGTCCACGAATCGGACCTGGACAGCTTCCTGAACGGCGCGTCCAAGCTCTCCATCTTGGAGTTCAAGGCACTGACGCTGTGTTCCGAGTCACTAGTCCTGGTCCTGGAGAAACTGAGCAAGCTAAGTTCCGACAAGTCCTGCTCGGACATGGTGGAACTCAAGGTGTCGTATCTGCTGCTGTTGCCCGAGGTCACGGACTGCAGCTCGTCGTAGATTGACTCGTCAGGCAGAGGTGGTGGAGGGTAAATCGGTGGAGGTGGACTGTACCTTGCACCCGTCAGGTCCTCCTCGTTCTTGACACTTCTCAGGTTTGATTGCAGGGGACTATAGAAGGAAATCCCGCTGAAGATGTCGTTAGCTGGGAGAGAGACGCATCGCTCTTCCAGGGATGGACATTTCGGGGACTTTCCATCCGGGGAATCCTGACTCTCCTCCTGTGAAAGGGAGGTCAGCCTCCGGGTCAGCAGGTTCTTCACGGATTTTTCCAGCCTCATGCTGGCGTTCCTGGTGCTCGAAATCACTGCTTTGCCCTTCACGGTCATCTTCTCCGAGATCTCTTCCTTCAGCTGTCTGGAACTGTTCCCTAGACTGCGGAAGAATTCACCTTTTGCCTCCGGTGGGGGTTTTGGGTCCCCTGGGGGGTCGGGCTCGCTTGGGGACATCGGTGGGGATGGGCTCGATGCGACGGGGAAGGTTCGCGGAGCTGGAATTGGTCGATCTGGAATCAGCGATCGCGGTTTCGGGACTGGCTTCACCTCCATCTTCAAAGTTTCCCCCAATTAGCTGCTCCTTAGAACTCAGCCTCCACTTTCAAGCCGGGATCTTGGCTAGATGTGAACCTCAACGCCGTCCTTCCTGATGGTTCCTCCTCTTCCAGGAGACTTCAGAGAAGGGATTTTGCGTCATCTCCAGAACCTGCATTTCCGCTCCGCATCCAAGTTTTTGATTTCGGGTCCTTCTCGAACTTATTATCCGCGTTTTGGGGGTCAAGACCTCTCGAAAGCATTTCCTTTCAACTGGGGAAACGCGGTTCGTTGATTTCACGCGCAATTCTGCCGATGGATGAGTCACTTCGGCATCGGGTTAGTTATCGCAATTGTCCGATAAAAAATTCAGGAAGCTCGTGAAACTCGCGCCGACGACGATACCCCTGCTATTCCGATAAAGAAGTGCGCGAGGCTCTTTGTTGAGAAAGCAATGCTTTTTTTGGTACTCTCCGCGGTCGATCGTAGAACTCCAAACGTACAAGCCAGGTACAGGTAATTACACCTGACGAGACGATGGATGAGTCACTTCGCCGTTAAAATACAGTTCCACGACCTGGATAGTCGTCGCACTTGCGGGTAACATGTCGTTTTCTCTATTGATTATGTTTCCTACTTATCTACAGCTTCAATTCCGCTCTACTTTAGTCATACGCAGATTTACGGATTTATCCGTCTAGATGTTCAGCAGATCTCGGTCGCGCACGTGGCTGTCACTCTTACTCACAAATGTAGGACAACCTTTCCATGTAATTATTTAAAAATCAGATTTAGGCACTTAATCATTTTAATTTACATCATTAGCTTCGCCATCACCCTCGCCGGCATGAACACTCCTATATCGGTAAAAATTCGTTTAATATATGTTTATAATTAATTTCTCTCGCGTAGACGCGACGGCCACTCTCGCGAACGGACGTGAGTCACCTCGTACAATCTCTGAATGTACGTGTGTACAATTTACGGAAGTAAAAATATCGAAATACAGACAACAATCGCAATTGTCACCTGGCGAGTCCACGAGTGAATCACTCGAGCGCTATCAAAGCGGAGCCATTTGGAGCTCCCACCTTCTATGAAGGATTTTTTGACAGCCCCGGACGCGATTTCGCAGTTTTTCCTTTTTTTTCCCCCGGGGAGTCGACAGGAAGAAACACAAAGGATTTCCACGTGGACACTCATGGACGTGGTTCACCGACCGTGCCCAATTACGGTCAGCTGCAGCGCACGAGGTCGCTGCAACAAGTGGTCGCCCATCGATTTCCAGCGAGCCACCATGCTCCAAAACGCTTCTCCAAATGTTCCATTTCCCCTGGGTCGAGAAAATCGGCGGAATAGAAAATATCCCCCACTTTCGGAGACTCTATCTAGCCCTACAAATAAACGGACGCCATACAGAGGCATACAAGACACCATGAGACGGTGCAAATCGTGACAATAAAGCGTTCATCCCTATCTCCGGGACTCGATCGTCTCCCCGGACACTGCATAAGTACAGGATTGCAGATTAGAGACTATTCCAGCGGTAATGAGCTAATCGATATACTAATCAGGCTCCGAATTTCATCTTGAAGAGTCTTGGAATCTTCTTCGGTGTAGGTATCTTCGGGTCTTTCGGGGCTATCGATGCGAGAAATTCTTCAGTTCCGCCGTGGAATTCCGTCGGCTTAAATCTCAGTCGAGGTTTCTGCGGATTCTGGGACGTGCTGTCCTGTTTTTCTCCTCGGTAGTTCGAGACAACGTCACGAGGGGCGATGTTTCACCGCTCACTTTCCCGGAGGAGTAACGGAGATTAGGTGCGTTATGGCGGGCCCAGGTGCGCAGGAATACCACGGGACTTTTGAGGTCGGCGGGGACGGGCCCCGGGTGCTCGCTGCCCTGGGCCTGCGCTCCTATCCCGGGCACAGGGACGATAAGATATGCCGAACCGGGGCTTTGTTATCCCGGCATCGGGCGCGACACTGAGCCCGGCTCTGCGGTCCGTCATGCGCTCCGGCTTCTTTCGCTGCGCCCACTCTTGCCGAGCTACTCTCCCTCTACTCGCCGTACTCGCTGCACGTCTCCGTAGAGGCGATGCATCGGTAAGGATCGGGATTTTCGAGAAGTGCAGAATCTCCGTCTGAGATGGAAAGAGCGGCAGTGACAAGCGATACGACGTTTCTCTTCATTTTCTTACTATATGCAGAGCTATTCGTCTGAAACGAAATAAGAGACGGTGATAAACGATGCGATTTTTAATTTTATGCGAAATTTTATATATTGAAGTCATACATATGTATGCTTAGGCGAAGCATCGGCTAGGAACAGGCTTTTCGAGAAGTGCAGAATCGCCGTCTGAGATGGAAAGAGCGGCAGTAACAAGCGATACGATGTTTTTCTTCATTTTGTCACTAAATGCTGAGCTACTCGTCTGATATTAAAAAAAAGAGACGGTGATAAACAATGAGATTTTTATTTAATTTTATGCGAAATTTTACACTTTGAGAATGCGTATCTGCATGCGGAGGCGATGCATCGGTAAGGATCAGGATTTTCGAGGATTGCAGAATCGCCGTCTGAGATGGAAAGAGCGGCAAGGACAAGCAATACGATATTTTTATTCATCTTCTTACTAAACGCAGAGCTATTCGTCTGAAACAAAAAAAGAGACTGTAATAAACGATACGATTTTTATTTAATTTTATGCGACATTTTACTCATTGAAGTTACATATATGTATACATTTTTATTTAATTTTATGCGATATTTTACACATTGAGATTGCGTGTATGTATGCGAAGGTAATGCTTCCATAAAGATTAGGCTCTCCGAGGACTGCAGAACCGCCGTCTAAGATGGAAAAGGAGGCAATGACAGACGATACGATTGTTTTTTATTTTTCACGGAATATTCTACATGGTACATTTGAAATGTTACACACTGAGAATGCATATCTGTGTATGGAGGCGATCTATCCCTAAAGATCAGGCTTTTTGAATTTCAAATCCAAAACTGCACGTCTGAAATGGAAAGAGAAACAATGAGACACGAAAATATCTCTTGAGACTTTTATTTAGAATTTTACTTACCCAAACTTTTGACATGTATGTCTCACAGGCATGTACGCACAATATATATTTCTCGAATGTCTATATCGACGAGACGGAGGGAAAGAGGGAATAGGAGTTAAAAAGATTTTTAAAGAATTGCACCCTACCTCTACCTAACATGTACAATGCCAGTGTCTGTAGACGCCCTTGATAAGTAAAGTCCATATTTTACTTATTCTTCGCGAACTCTTCAAAGCCGGGTATATTTTGAAATCTAACCAATTTTATTTCTTACATAATCTACTAAATCTACTTCTATAAACTACTTTCTTATAAATACCCGAAGAGAGACAAGATGGCGTTAGCGATCCGTCACGTGACGTCCACCTCAGTCATTCAAAGAGGCTTATAATAATAAAATCTTTTTCGAGACTCACATTCAATTGAAATGTCGAGTAATTTTAGCTTAGCTGTAGTGAATCTCAGCTAAAGATATAGCTGAGATTCACTAATAAACGCTCTTCACATAAGCAGCAAACCAAAAGTGACACTGCAGAGATCACGACTACGAAGCTCTGCTCGTGCCGAGACTCTAAGCCGAAGATGCCCGAAGAGCGACCACTTCGTCCTTCGGGTCCCGATCGGGAGCCGAAGTTACACGAGACGGATCTACCGTTGCCGGCGATCACTGGCCGGAAGGTAACACTACACGAAGCGCCGCGCCTGAACTTTCTCTTTATTCAATTATTTTGTTATTAATTTTCTTACCATTTCCAATTGACCCCTCGATGACTCGTCGACCGAGGAGGAATTGCCGGTAACGAATGAAACGCGACACTTCCATTCCGTGACGAATTACGGCAGTTTCCGGGAATCGCGCAGATCGGTCTCACTGGATTCTCGATCACTGGCCGCTGACTAATTCTACTCCTGCCATTTGCTCAGCTTTGCTGATTCAGCGGCACGCGGTCGGTAGTTATGATGATGCCAGCCTTTGGGATAGTCTTCGCACGGAAGGTATCTTTCGTTCACCTCTCTTACTTATTTTCCCTGAATTACTATTTCTCAACTACATCTCTCATATTTTTATAATCCAAAGGAGAGGCTCTGTTCCCTCTGTTTGAGTACGTGCACTGTTAAACAAAATATTAGAATTTTATAACGTATTTTCAAAAGCAATTTAAAACACGTTACAAATGTAGCACGTATGTGTAATCAATTTATAATATATGTTATACATTTGTGTTTAACGGTATTAACGGTATCTGAAAAAATGATAAACAATGTGTACTAAATGCCTTTAAGCCTTCATCCAAGGGGCGCCGATAGAGTTGGAAAATTCCCAGTAGCATAAAATTGGAAAAGGTAACTGTGAAATATACCGTAAGTTACCAAGAACATCGGGAATTTATGAGAATTGCCGCTTAAGGGGTGCCTAGCACCATAACCTAGCGGTGACGAGGTCTGAAACCAACACATCGCCATTTGTCGATTCAGTCACGACATAACCTATAAACCGTTCATCCTTCGGCTCGTAAAAGATATTTTCGAGGCGATCATCGAATGGAATAACAAAAAGTGGAATAACAAAAAACCCGGAACGAAGCGGCCACAAAGAAGGTTGCTTGAATTTCGCGCCGAATACATTTGAAAGCGTTGTAAAAGGGCATATAAGAGACAATGCGGAGCTGTTTTCTCTGGCTCTAAAGGATTGGCATTGTAGAGAGATCGAAACAATCAAAGATGGAATGTATTTTTCACTGGATGGTTGTTATTGAAGTTCCATAGAAGTCCGAGTCAAATCGGTGGCGCGACGGTCGCTGAGTCAGCCAATTGCACGGGTCGCCGTTGTCCTAATTGGTTTGACTCGTGGCCGTTTGCGATGCGATGAACCGACGAAAGTCGGATGCGGGCATATTGTATGTTCGATTGAAGTATATAGGGTGTCCTAGTTTAACACTAAACCTACCACCGGCGGGTCAAATTTACCATTTTAAATGGTTTTGCAATGGGGGATAAATCGTTGGTAAGTTTAGGGTTAAATGATTTATTGGAATGAATCCTGAAACTCTTGATTTTTGATTCTAAGCCTCCAAGAAGCGTAAAATATCAAAAACCTGCCCGGACCCCATGTTGGTTCTAGTCCATTATAAATAAATAAATTTTGGATGAAAAATGAAATTTCATGAGTTTCAGGATCTACTTTAGGACCTCAATATCCAAATAGAAAAATTTGAAACGAATCGGTACCCCCAATTAGAAGAATACTTTCCCCAACGATTTGACCTCTCAGATATATATATTTTTTTTTAACATTAAGGGGATGATTTCTCCCTCCCATTCCACATCTCATAAACTCATAACGTGAACAATATAGTCTTTTAAAAATCTCAATGTTTCCAAACTGATTTTCAGACATTCACTCATAACTCCAAATTGAAGGAACATTAATTGCCATTCGGTTTAATTTTCTCAGATTCGAATACATTTATTAATTTTAACATCCGCATTCCCAGGAAACTCGGGTGAATAAATCGAAGGCCAGTCGTTTTAATGAAATCTTTATTACGACTTAATCGCGCCAAAGTCAAATAGTGGCTTTGGCTATACAAACAGGTAAATATTCCCCGCGATGACGAACCGCAGGTGCGAGCCCGAAGTCCTTCATTCCGTTAAGGATCAGTTTCGTTCGCCTTTCGAAAAATATCGCCTGAGAAAAAGATTCCGCCTAGTCGGGCACAGAAAGCCACTGATCTATATACTAACTGGATACCTGATATCCATTTGTTCCATACGGAGAGGACTTGGACGAATTCAAGACACCCCAGCGCCAACTACACATGGGCAGCTATACTAAAGAAGTAACGTGTGCGCATGTGCAAAGGGTTTGAACCGTCAATCGCGGCCAAATGACAAATGTTGAACCGTCAGTTCGCGAAGATAAACATTTAAGGTGATATGAAAGTGTGATATATACATATCAAAAAGTCCATATATTTATAAAACTTTTCGCCAAACTGGGCGCACAAAATTATCTTAAACTTTAACACGTGATTATGGAGGCTCTAAGGAAGTAGTCGCTGCCCGTAAAATTTCAATTTTCGAAAAAAAATCTCTTTTCATGGTTCTTGTCCGAGATGTGTACAATTTTTTTCGAAAAAAAAAAAGAAATTTCGTGAGCAGCGCGTTATTCCTTAGGGTCTCCATAATCACGTGTTAAGGTTTTAGATAATTCGATGCACCCAGTTTGGAGAAAAATATTATAAATATTTTGACTTTTTGTTATGTGTGTGTGTATATATATATCACTTTCATATCACTTTAAGGTATAAAAGACAGAAGAGACATAATTTACAGGTAAAAATGGCGCGTAGGGCATATAGTAAGAAAGCTCCGACTAAAACAAAATGGCTATCTTTTCTCTCGTAAGTATTTTTATAAAAATGGCAATTATTTCTTTCCAGTAGATTAATGTCACACTTCTTATACTATCTACGGGTAAATGAGGCGTTCTTTTGACGTATGCGAAAATGCTATGATGTTAGGGTATGTGTCCATGGCCCGAGGGCTTTGGTTGCTTCAAAAAAGTCACGACATTTTCTAGGTTATCAGCTATCCAGTTTGTATATATAGATCGGTGTAGAAAGCCCTTCCCTCGATTTGAAAAAAAAAAGAAAAAGAAAAAAGAAAATCGCGGAGCTTCGGTCGCGGCCGCTCATTCCGCGGACATCGCGGGTTAGGTACCTTAAATCACAATGGCGACGACAAGTTAATTTCTTTCCTTTATTAATTATTTTCAAAACGATCGCTCGGAGCCTGGGCTTCTCACCTTTCGACTCGAAGCCGTCGTTTAAAGGTGGCGGCACGTGTACCGATAAGACGTAGCGATTTGCAATCTGCGCAGTTATCGGAGTTCTTTTATAGCGCCATAAATGTGGCTACACACACTCAGAAAAATATTTGCTTGAATCAG